AAAAAAGGAGTCCCTGCAGATTATACTTCCCTAGTCATTGCCAGCTATAGGGGACAGTGCTCATCTCCATTTCAAGGGCCACTGGTGTGTGTGGGGAAGTGGGTGGAGTGTATACAAGTTGTGAAAGAAATTCAAGAGAAAGGAAACACAGCACTGTTTCCAGGGAAAAGAATGTTCTAAAATTAATAGCTTAGATGAGAACATGGAGATTAGCATTAACAAAAGTCATTTGGGTAAATGTTTTACAGATTTGTTTCCTCTCAATAACTGTCCAACAACTAGTTTCACTTTTTTTTATTTACCTTTCTTTTGAAAACGCTTCTGCTTACACACACACACACACACACACACACACATCTCCATGTATAGAGAGTGATGTGCGTAAGCATGCACACATTTCATAATCAAGACCTAAAGCAACTGAGCCATGGACAAAAGATAGGATACAGATGAAATAAGGGGAAAAAAATATTCCCAGTTAAGATAAGGTTTGTGAAGCCACTAACTCTGATGAGAGTCATCCCCACAAAGGGAAGACTGAAGTAGGCAAGATTGGAAGAAGAATGGCTTCAAAATACCATGAAGGAATTTTTTGGAGGGAACAGTGAAAGAGTCACAACTTGTGACTCATCAAACCTGAACACAGTCCACTAGCCATGCTATTTGAGGCAAGAACTTATTTAACCACCCCCTCCTTTTCTCTGACTTTTCAGTTCAGTGTCAAGAAAGCAGCAAAACCAGGAAGTTTATTAAATCCCTAGTGGATTCCATTTGTCACGGTGATGAAATAATGACTATGTGACCACACTTAAAACTGGAATTAGCCACTTTGGTTGGGTCTCTTGTGGGGAACAATATGGCCTTTTTTTTTCAGTGCAGTTGAACATTGGCTCTTTTGGATCCAGCTGGCACCTGGAAAGCTACCATTAGTTCCAGAAGTTGTTTGCAGACTTTGTTAGTTAACCTTTCTCTTGAATTTCTTTCACAACTTGTATACACTCCACCCACTCCCCCACACACACCTCAGCCAAGCTTACCTGCTGCTGGCACCAAGCTTCCTCCTACATATTTAAAACCATTGATAAATGCCAGCTGCACGGCTGATTGTATCTGATGCGGGGGTCATAAGCAGTGTGAAGAAGTTCACCCATCTCATTTGAGAAGCCAATCTTCTCTAGAGAAGCCAATTTATACATCTATCAGGATTTCCCACTAAAAACCACAAGTAGTTTGCACATCTTTCCATCAGTCAATTAAATAAGGTTTTAGTTCATTGAATTTTTCCTTAAGAAAAAAATATGTTGCTGGGCTTGATTTTTTTAAAAAAGTATCTGCAATAGTCTTAACGTGGAACAAAAGAGGTGTGATGTTATTAATTCTTTCTAGTTCAAAAAAGAATCTCAAGGTGCAGCATGGTAGAATTATTTGGTTGGGTTCACACAATACATTAAACCTAGACACAGATGAATAATGCATAACTACTGTGTGGAATAACGTATTATGCTCACAGCATGGTTTATGCACTGATCTGATTATCACAATAAGATGATACTGTGTTCTTACATGTTGAAACACAAACCACACTACCCCATTTCAACCTACCCTGGCACAATAGAGACAACCATCTTAACATAAAAGTTCTCTTAGTTGAAACTTTGCATGTTGTTTTTCCAGAACACAAAATTTCAAGTAAGAGAACTTTTATGCTAAGAGGATCCCAATAAAGATACTATTCTTTTTCCTCTAAGGGCAGCAAACTCAATTATTTGAATAAATTGTGCAGTTAGCAGTTAGCCTTAATCTTTATTTTTGTTCTTTCAGGAACTATACTCATTTTCATCACCCTATTTATGGGAACTGCTACACATTCAACGACAATAGCAGCACTTTGTGGATGTCCTCCATGCCTGGGATCAACAATGGTGAGCAAATGCCAAAAAATGGTAATGAATGTCTGGAAAGGTTCTTTGTTTGAATGTACAAATAATGCTATGGAGGCCAAAGAGAAAAAAAGATGTATGTATATTACTGTTCTAATTTCAGTATTCAGGCTTCTCTGGGCATAGGCTTAATTGCACTAAGGAGGTATTGTCCTTATTTCTTAAAACTATGGAGTAGGCAGAGGGCATACTTTGAGTGGTGAAGAATAGAGAAAAATTCTGCATGAAGAAAAATGGCCACACTAGAAATGAAGGCCAGAATTAAATTTTACATGGCCTGGCTTTCTCTACCTACTGACCATTACGGGCAAAAGAGAATGAGAGTCAGTGGTGAAATTCAATTTTTTTTACTACCGGTTCTGTGGGCGTGGTTTGGTAGGCGTGGCAGGGGAAGGATACTACAAAATCCCCATTTCCTCCCCACTCTGGGGCCAGCCCCGCCCTCCCGATCAGCTGGGACTCAGGAGGCAGAGAATAGATGGGGGAGGGGACAGTCAGAGGTGGTGTTTGCTGGTTCTCCGAACTACTCAAAATCTCCACTACCAGTTCTCCAGAACCTGTCAGAACCTACTGAATTTCACCTCTGGTGTGTGTTCACACTCACAGATGTTAAAAAAGGAGTCTGCACTGTTATCTTTCTTTTCTAAGTGATTTATCTTTTTTTGCATTACATCATAGGCATCATATTAGTTTGGTGATATTCTCAGAGTTGCCACCATGTAATTCCCTTCTCAATTCAGTTGTGTTTTTCTTCTAACTGGATTTTTGCATTTCAAGTTCTTACGACATTTCTCTTTTCCAAATGAAGGACAGCAAACTACAAGCTTTTAGTTCAGTGTTTCTCAACTTTGGCAACTTGAATATGTCTGGACTTCAAATCCCAGAATTCCCCAGCCAGCGAATGCCACATTATGTTTTATATAAAGTTGATATTTGGATTATTTAACGCAAAGCAACAGCCTCAAGATTTTTTTTTTTACAAAATATATACTCTTAACTTCAGTTTCAGATTGTGTACATAGTATTTCCATAGTACACAATGGCTAGGCTGCAACTCGTGTTAGATGGTTTTATTATCTATGCTGAGAACATTTTGTAAAAAGGTGTATCCAGCAATAGAACTTTCCCTGCCAGTTTGAAGTGATGTTTGCCTATTTATATAGCACAGACCTAGCCTCTATGACTCAATGACTAAAGGCACAAATTGTACCTTGACTTTACTCCAACCAGCATTTTTTCCCTCTTCAGGTTGTCTTACATCCTTTTTAAGATTAGCAAATTCTACTTAAGAAATCTTTTTTAAGGTCAGAACATTCAGGCGTAAGGCCACTGTACTACTACGTTAGAATTTCATCTCAGAAACATATTCAAAGCTTTGGAAGGCTACAATGGCTCAGCTCATGTGTTTCCAGCATTGTTTGGACTCCTTCAACATGGCAACACTTATTTTAAATTTTATATCTCCCTCCCTGAATCACTTGATCTCTTGAGATAATCACTCTTGGTTTCTATCTCCGCAGGCCTTTCTCTGGTCGTCCGCACAGAGCAAAACGACTTTATCCCACTATTGTCCACTGTGACAGGAGCTCGAGTAATGGTCCACAATCAGAATGAACCTGCCTTCATGGATGAAGGGGGTTTTAATGTGCGTCCTGGCATAGAAACATCCATCAGTATGAGAAAGGTGAGAGACGGGAGGAAGATAAGCCTTGCTTTGAGCATAGGGGTGAAATCGCTTCTCTTCCAAGGAAATGAAATATAAACACATGGCTAAAAAAAACCCAGGCTCAGTTCAGTTCAGTTTTATTCAGTTCAGAGTTTATTAGAACTCATAGTTTTACCAAAAGAAAACATGAACATTATGGTGCTGTAAAACTAGAATCGGTCAACAAACCATCAATACAATGAATTGTTGTAAAGACAACCTACCATTTTCTTATCTAGAGGTGTGTATTTGTGTGTGTTAAAAGTTTAACAAGGCACAGAACAGAAAGAACTGGCTCTATTATTTAGTTTAACAGTATAGAACACTCTATGCCCGCAATGTTAAGCTGTGAGAACATTCAATTCCCAGAATTCTCCAACCAGCATTCTGGGAATTGAATCCACATAGGTTAACGTTACTGGGGTTATAGTTACTGGAGAAAAACTGATCTAGTCTTAAAAGTGTTTACTTGCTTCTATCCCACAATGTAAGAAGCAACTATGAGCCTTTTCTTCATTACTTACAAAATATAGAAATCTATTCAGTGAAATTGCAAAATGTCAGAGTTCCCAATGAGCGTCCTCCCATAGTGCTTGTTGATTTAAAAAATGAGCAAGGGTTTGTGTTTTAATCAAAAAATGTGACTGGCAATTGATGGTCAATTGTTTTATCAGAGATTAATATACAGCACTTCACCGAGTTCTTATCAGAATGAAATTGCGAAAATAATCCTTTACCTTTTGCATCTCTTGGTAAATACGAAAGATACAATCCCCCATCCTATGTTTGTGAAAAACAGTGCAATGCCCAGCTTCACACACTATATAATTCTCCTTTCCCCTTAGTGTGCCACTGCTATGTCAAGGAGATATTTAAATCTGGGATTTCACCATGGAATACATATCATCATTTTCACAGGCTCCCATCACTCAGCTATTAGGATTAGAAAAAGGACTGGCACCAACCACAGGGACTTGAATGCTGTCAGAGGACACAGAGAAAGGCTCCTGGTTTAGCTTTTATGACTTAGTGTGTTATAATAACAAGAATATAGGTAGTCCTCAACTTATGACCACAACTGAGCTCAAAATGTCCATTGCTAAGCAAAATAGTTAAGTTTTGCACAATTTTACGACCTTTCTTGCCACAGTTGTTAAGTGAATCACTGCAATCGTTAAGTTAGTAGCACAGTTGTTAAGTGAATCTGGCTTCCTCATTGACTTTGCTCATCAGGTGGTCACAAAAGGTGATCACATGACCCCAGGACACTGAAACCATCATAAATACAGTGCACGTTAGTTGCCAAGTGTCCAAATTTTGATCACATGACCATGGGGATGCTGCAACAGTCGTGTGAAAGCCAGTCATAAATCATCTTTTTCAGTGCCGTTGTAACTGAATTGAGGACTACCAGTATGGCAGTTATACTCACTGGCTGGGGAATTCTGGGAATTGAACTCCACACATCTCAAAATTGCCAAGGTTGAGAAACAATGACCTGGAATGGACCAGATGCTTTTGGAAAATCTTCAGATTAACAGCATTTCTAGTTTGAGTTCAAGTCAGGAAGTACCCTGTTCAGCCAGCAAAGAAAAGATCTGACACCCAGATGCAAAATAGAAAAAACAAAAACTGTATTGATTTGACAAGTTGTAAATTGATTGACAGGAAACCACCGAGCGTCTTGGGGGAAGCTACAGTGACTGCACAGAAGATGGAAGTGATGTGCCAGTGAAGAATCTATTCCCATCCCATTACACTGAGCAGGTACCTTGCCTCGATAGAACCGCTCCCACACACAGTCTGGGCTCTGCCCAACCCTCTCCCTGTATTGGGATTATTCCCATCACCAAAAATTTCCCAGCATGAATGCACAACTTCATGTGAATTCAAAGAGCTCCTTTTGCGCTTCTAGGTCTGCATACGTTCCTGTTTCCAGGCCAGTATGGTAGAACGATGTGGCTGTGGCCATTACTTCTACCCTTTACCCAGTGGGGCAGAGTATTGTGACTCCGCTAAGCATATAGCCTGGGGTAAGTACAGAGGTGGAGGAATCCATCCATATCACTTCTCTGTAACCCCCCGCCCCTTCCTCATCTCTTTCTGTTGATAAAAGATTGTTCAATTAATACATTTTTCTCTATTTTCTATTAGGTTACTGCTATTATAAACTCCAAGCTGAATTTAAAGCAAACCACCTGGGCTGCTTCACTAAATGCCGGAAACCTTGCAAGTGAGTAGACTTCAAAACTTGTGGAGTTGCATTCCTTGGTCTGGCCAAATTCCACAGAGCTTGCTTAGCAATAGAAGATATTCAGGGAAACTGAGAGAACAGATTTTATCCTTGATACATCCATGCAGGCCGGCCAACCAATTCTAGCTGAAAGGAGCACTCAAGCAGGGGAATAAAAAGGAAAGAGATGGTGCGCCTAAATATTCTCATAGATTATTTGAGCTGCAGAGTAATAAACGCTTGTTGCTCAGATGCTGGCAGGAGGTTCATCTATGGGATTTCCCTCAATCATGCAAGTTCACTTTTGAATGAAGATGCCAGCCAAGGAGCTTGTCTCAAGTGTGCTGGGTGACACATCTGATGGTTTTTTTAAAACTTTTCTATAGAGTGACAGGGTACCAGCTGTCAGCAGGATATTCACGATGGCCTTCATCTGTCTCTGAGGTAAGAAGCTGATTTTTGCTGTAGGGCAGTGTTTCTCAGAAGAGCCAGTTTTGTATAGTTGTTAAATCTCAGACTAGAAACCAGGAGACTGTGATTTCTAGTCCTGCCTTGGGCACGAAGCCAACTGGGTGACTTTGAGCCAGTCTTAGACCCAGGAAGGAGGCAACAGCAAACCACTTCCGAAAAACCTTGCCAAGAAAATTGTAAACTAGATCAGGCAGTCGGCAGGATTCAACCCTGACTCAAAGGCACCCAAAATAAGTATTTCTTAATTATAGCAACTGTAAGGTATGTGGACTACTTGATGCTGAGGAATTCTGGAGGTTGAAGTCCATACATCTTAAAAGTTGCAAGGATGAGAAATATCTGAAAGCTAGGAAGGACCAAATGAATGCTTCACATCAATGGATGCAATAGCATCTTCCCTTTAATGCCCATTTTATAAGTGAAATGCATGAGGTGGAGAGACAAATCTAAACCAGACCTAACTTATCACTTGGAGGAGAGAAATACTGAAAGCAAAAAGAACAAGAGCTCTTTTGCACTCAAAATACCTTCCTTCCTTCCCCAAATTATTATTTTTTGAATAGCTATGTGTGTTTATGCATGAGCGGTTAATAGTCCTTGAACTGTTTGCGCTGATATTGCAAATCTATCATTTCAGTCCTGGGTGTTTCACATGCTGAACCAGCAGAATAAAAACAATGTCATATCTAAGAGGTAAGAGCTCCCCCTATGGATGAAATAATATTAAGTTGGCGTTGGGGGGCGGGTGTTGGTTAAAATCAAACCAATGGAGTGAAACAGCAGTGCTGAGGTAAAATAATATAAGGGAAAAGGATTGAAAGTACAATATATTAACTGCTTCAAGATCAGCTGAAAGTATTGGAATGTAAAGTAACTATCTGCCTAGTCCACATTATGTCATTAGTAAATGGTTCAGGGTGCTATGAGCTAAGAAATTAGATTAAGTAAATCTTGAATAGTGCAGCTTTTCCTATGAACAGAACTTCAAGTGCAGAAAACTATTCAGAAGTCCATTCTGCCACAAAATATTAGTTTATTTTAGACTGTCAACCACAAACTGCTGAGTGGTTCAGAGGAAGTTAAAGGTCAGCAGCAATCCCAGCATCTGAACTGATGCTTGTTTTAATGACAAGTGCCTGAATCATTATATGATTTGCATATCACAACAGGAGTTTAAAGTAAAATTAGACATCTAATAAAGTAGCTATTAAAAACTGCACTAAAACTGATATAGATCTGAGGATTCTGCCTTGAATGTTTGGGTATTAGACTCTTATTGCAGATATAGTTGCCTAACAGCAAAGTTCACTAAAGGGCGTTTATTTATTTTAAGCAAATGCATCCTCAAAGATGACCTACTGAGATAAGATTTTTTCTAAATGAGGCTGGGTAGAATTGCCGTCTTAGCCAATGCACCTTTCTAACAAGACTGGACTTATTCCAACTCTCTTCTATTGCCAGGGATGGAATTGCCAAAGTGAATATTTTTTTCAACGAGTGGAATTATAAAAGGAACGGAGAATCTCCAGCTTTCACGGTATGTCCACACATTTGATTGCATGCTGCCAGCAGCCTAAAATATCACAGAGCTACCATCTTTAATGTCCTTCTAGTAGTTGGTCAAATTATTTTAGTTTCTTCTTCAGCATCTTCCTTTAAGCCATGTTTCCATTTTCAATAGTCTTATTTTCTGAATTTGGGTGTTATTTGGAACGTGATACGATAGAATGCAATGTTAGATGCTAATTAGAGCAATACTTATAGGCACATCCCAGCCTGGCAGAGCAACCTCTCTTCTACTAATCTCAGAATAATTGATGGATAAATTCTTAGTCTATGATTCAATCCTAGCAGGAAAATTTGAAATTATTTTCAATTAGTGTGAAATGTTACCCATACTAGGTTAACCAGGCGGAGGAAAACTTAACTATTTTCTTTTACCCTCAATCTACCCATTCATTTAAGCAAATGTTTATAATGCAAAATTCTCCTAATGTACTCTTGAATTGTATGCTCTGCAAACATTTCTCAGTAATTAACATTTGACTTCCAGTAATTTTACTGTAGGTATCAGTAATTGTACAGTTGATACACAGCAAAAGCCAAGAATCAGCAGTATATCACAGCTGATGTATAACAGTAAGCAATTAACATTTCATAGATAGTACAATGACAGTAACTTTACCTTGGTTTTATTCAATAAATCAAAACGATAGCCAAAGCTTGATGACCATTTATTTTTGCACTGTATCATTAAGCATTGGGTTAAATATCAATATGTAATTTCAACTTTGACAGGATTGATCCTGCTTTTGAGACAAAGGCAGCATGTTTATTCTTATGTATAAACAGAGTGATTTTCCAATTCCTAGAACCAACAACAAGCCCCTTAAAATCTAGGCAAGTCCAAACAAAATATGTTAGTTCTTCAACCTCTATGAATATATCAGCTAGACACAGAGACAGAGATCTTTTTAACCACTTTTAATTTTGTTTTGCTTTTTCCTTGTACAGGTGGTGACATTGCTTTCCCAGCTAGGGAACCAGTGGAGTCTTTGGTTTGGTTCATCAGTCCTTTCTGTGGTGGAACTGGCTGAGTTGATTTTGGATTTTTTAATCCTCACAAGCATCCTGGTTTTCCGCCGGCTGTACTTATATCAATCTTCAGACCTTTATGCACTAAGCAACTCAAATAACAATGTACCTTCGGCTCACAAAACTCCACAGGAAATACCTGCCGAGATTGGGATTGCTGCACTGCCATCTTATAACACCTTAGAAACATTAAACTTACACAGAGTTTCCTTCAGGAGAACAGAATAAAATCCAGACCAGGATGCTTTGGATATGACATCATTATGCACTTTAATTAATGTTGACGTATAGACTCAGCACTTGGAACTAACGTTAGCTGGATTCTCACATCCAGAGAAGACAGGCCTGAATTTCATCTAAAAGAATTCTGACGATACAGATCCAATGACATGAAAGCACCTTTCTTTCTCACTTTGTCCTTGGTGTGTGCAATTTCTCAAGTCTGTATTTGTCCACCACCAAACAAAATTAAAAAGATGGATGCTGGGTATTCTTTTCCCCGTATATTTTGAGAAATAACTTTCTACAAATTGATCTTGCTTCCCGTTTCTTTGGGGGGGGGGGCATTTGCTGATCAAATTAAAGTCAAGTGGACAAAGACATCTAACCCTTTTCTTGTAGATTAAAAACAAACCCAAGCTTTTTGGTATTTATCCCATCCATTGAGATAGCTATAACTCTTTCCTGATTGCAGCCAAGTGTCAGTATGAAGACATGCACTGGAAACTGAAAAAAGCTCAACAGGATATGAAATCTTCATAGGATTAGAACAATCCTAATACATATACATGGATAAACTTCTATACTTTGAAAAATAAAAGATCTCTAATTCTGGGTCCATGAATTACCAAGGTACACTTCAATCAATGCTTCTTTAAGCAGGCTATAACAAGGATTTCCATCCACTTCTCTTCCTTTGAGCAGATCCAAGCTTTGAAGACTGTATACTTTATTATGCATTTAATATCGATGTTAAGTCTTGCTCCGCTACTCAGAGACTTAATATTCAGCTTCTGTATTGTGTATCTCCCTGTGAATGACTTCAGTTAAACTAGGACCTAAGCTCTTTCTCACTTCCTTTGTTCTCCTGAGACCAAATGCTACAAAAACAGTATATTCTTAGTCTTGGGTTCATTCTGGATGTGGGTGGAAAGGCTTTATATTGTCACTTTCCCATTCAACAAATATAATACCCCTCCACAAGCAAAACATGGCTATGTGAACATCAGCATCCTTTTCTCCCTTTCAATAATATTGTATAAAAAAATCAAAGATGGGACTAGAAGGCCAGACTTTCTAATTTATATCTTTAGAAAGTACTGTTGTTTTAATACAGGTAACTCGTCAGTATGCCAGAGGTTCTGCAGAAATCCACTTACCTACATAGGATGATAACTGTATGTTACACAAAGAAAAAATTAATTTATGAGGATTCCACTAGTGTTCCATCAATCTAGGCTCACCTTCCATATTTCATCTCATCAACAAAAAAAGGAAAGGCATGGATCTTCAGCCCTTCTAATTTAAGAATTTTACCGAATTAGAACTTTAACTCTTCTCTCTACAAAGTATTTGCTATTTGCATATTGCAGCCTGTAAAAATGGAAAGTATTTTCAGCAGTGAAGATTTTCATATTGGTGATGAAGCAAGAATCTCATCAACATCAGTGCTTTGCTCCCAGTGCTTCCCTCTGGATTCTCAAAGATGTCCTTGTTCCTCGACTGCATATGGACAGCCTAAACTACTTCTCCCTTCCCCAAAGTGGACACTCTCTGAATGTTTACTAATATATCAGATTAACCAGATAAAATGATTGTAGCTATCATATATAAGGGTCCTCTTTTGGCTTTTTTTTTTTTTTACAAAAAAAAAGAGTTTTGGTTTTGTTCTGTATTTTTAGCATTAGGGAAATCAAATTTAAAATGTGTTTTCTGAAAATGAAAGAGGAAAAAAATCCTATGATTTTGATTGGGAAGTATAACTATGACCGAAACCCAGAGTACCAGTGCCATCGTACAATCATTCAGGTTTCATTTAAGATACCTTTGTTCTGTGGCCTTCTGGAGATGTCTTTTAAAAAGAGTATTATTTGTTCTTGCTTTTTGGAATCCTCTCCATATCTATAAGTTAAATCCGTGGTTCTCACTCGGTGGTCCATGGACCTCTGGGGGCTGTGATGTTGTCACAGCTTGAAGAAATGTTATGATTTAAATCTTGAGTTAAGTCTTGGTGCTCCGTGACCACAAAAAGGATTTAAAGGAGGTCCATGGTGAAGAAAAGGTTGAGAACCACCAAGTTAAATGTTTGAGCAATGATATGTCTCTTAGCACTTTTGCATATATTGTACACATGTACACATACATGGTCAGCGAGTTATAGCTTCCCATTCCATGCGCTACAGTTGGGAATGAAGATGAATTGTTTAATGTACAATAGGACTGTTAATTTTTTCCAATACATATGTATCAAATCCAATACTCTCTGCATTTAAATCAGCACATGATGGAGTGTAGAGAAAATGTATCTGGAATGCAGCAGATGAAGTAACATAATGGGACTTCAGGCAGTGACTGGAGGTAGATACCCTATAAGTACACTAGAACCATCCTAATCCCGTGTGCCATATTAACAGTGCAAGACAGACAAGTATTGCTCTAATTTCAGTATGCTGTGTCTATATACTTGTCTTAATAGCAGCTGAGCAGGATCTTAATGCACCATTTCCATATCATCTACACAAAACAAAAGCAGTGCCATCTGAGAACTATGTTTCTTTTGGTTTTATACTCTGACTTGAACAGAAATAATAGAAAAGTAGACTGTGAATATGAGAGTACAAATTCTGCTACTTCTAATTTCTCTTGTATGCATAAACTGGGCACAAGTTGTTGTCAAACAGCACAAGACCTATCTTGACAACATTGTGCTGTGCCTTTCATCACTACTTTCTCATGCAGGGCCAGCAAGTTCATGAATCCCTTTTACAGATGCAAGATGATCATCATACAACTCTTTTGCATAGCAGCTTCATATTTAAACAGAAGGATCCAGATAAATTCTCATACGCTCTCGACCACTGTATCCAAGAGATTAGTTGTATACCGTTTATTTCCACACTAATTAGGAATATTACACTGTTAGCATTTTGTACTCTTTGACATTTGTTTATTCTGCTTGTAACAGCTATTTTGCTAAATTGGTTTAGGCAAAAGAAATAGAAAATGCAATATGCCAGTATAATGGGGGATAAACGGGAGAGGCAGATTAGGGGGGGAAAGGGGGGGTATTTTAAAGCCCTAGTCAAAGGCTGCCTTCGCTCAGGATTCTTCCAAAGATCTTGCCTTCCACTCCTGTTAATTGCAGCCAATTCTGTAAAAATTCTACAAGGCCATTTCAAGTCCAAGTTAAGAACGAATGCTGCTCATCTACTCGATGTTCAGTGCAACATCCTGTTGTGCAATTGTACATATGAACTACTGAGCCATAATGCAGCCTGTTTTATGCAGCAATGAACAAGAATCCACAGGGCTGAAGATCAAGTTTGCCAGATCTCCTGCATCTATCTATCAAGATGCTATGTTGGCCACTTGTGATCTATCTCACATCGGATTACACATATTCAGAAAATACTGATTTAGTACTCTTATTTCAGTCTACGTTCTTCTGCTTTACTACCTGCCAGTAGAATCCTGTTTCCTTCAGGACTCAGACAGATGAACCCCACTCATTTTAGTGGGTAAAGAAGTATTTGTTAGCGGAGGTTGTTAACATGAGCTGGTAGTTACACATGCCAGGAGAACATTATGGCTGCATTCCTCACAAGAACAAACCACACGTGTGAGAAAGCGGCTGAAGTCCTGTGCATAGAGAAAGTAGTCCCTTGGTTTAGGCAAAGAGGGCCTAGGGAAATGGGGGTATTGTTTGCCCATGCATAAAGATGGAGAAATGGAGAGATAGAAAGGGAAGAGGCGTAACATACAACATCTATGAAAACAGACAAGAAAAGCAGAAGAAAGCAGCCTAAGTGGCCTTCTCTCAAAACAATACGGCAGCAGATTAAACCAAGATCTTGTCCAGAAGAAATCAAGAAGGGGCTGTACACCTTACTGTGTTTCCTCTCATACTGACAGCAGCATCACACCTTGTGCCCCGGCTCCTCTTCAGGTGTTGCACTTCCATCAATACAGTCCCACCGAAATAGGAAGAGAATTGTCCAAAGAAGATGGGAACTCCATTCCTGTTCTCCTCCATCATTCCTCCCCAAAGGGGAAAAAAGATGGGGATACGCAAACAGATGGATTCTGCAAATGAAATGCTGGTTCATGGCAGTGAACATGCAAAAAATCAGCACCTCTGCAGCATGCTATGGTGAGAGTAGGGTTACTCCTAGCACAGCCAGAACAAATGTTTAGGAGCCAGATAAAACTGGTCTGAGGTTAAAATAAATTAATCCCAGTGGCCACCAGTTGATAAGTCCTGTCAGAGCATTACAGCATCTGAGACCCTGCAACAATGTCCTCTGGTCAACCACTGACACTACAACAAGGCCTCTTACCAAGCTAAGCCTCATCGTTTTATCAGTCCTTAGACTGGAATCAGGAAAACTACTTTTCTTCAGCATGTTTAAACTCATATTCATCACTCTCTGAACTCCTTCCACCCTGGAGCCCAATACCTTATTCAACAGGGAAATAAATGAGCATGAGCACCCACACCTGTCACTGTATATTCTGACAACTATCACCAAGGGATGACCTGAAAGTAAATGTGGTGAGAAACAGCACATCAAAACAAATATTCATGCATTATTCCAGAATCCTTGGCATTCTTCATTGCTGTTTCCAAGTCACAAAACCGGAAAGGGTTTTGTAAATTTATAGCTCATTGCTTTTAGAAGGAAACACTTCTAAATATACTGCAGAGGTTTCCAGGGCATAACTCCTAAACATACTGTTCGCTAAGGTACAAGCAGCATGGGACTTTCCAATTCAGTAGGACCCTCCCTTATCTGTTAATTCAGTCAGGTAAAACACCCAGCCTTTGAAAGCAAGGGGACAGAACTTCAGGCAGTACACTAGGATAATCCTAACCCCATGTGCAAAATAATTCATCTCACCCCTAATTCTGGCAGTATTGGGAATAAAGGCATACTTGTACTTGGAGCCAAGGTCAATGAATCAAACCAATAACTTTTCTACCAAATCCAAGATATGAAACAGTAAAGGATGGCTGGCAGTCATTATAAGATCAGAGTTTTGGTCACCAGAGCATTAACAGGAGTTTATATTAGAATATAAGGGAAAACTCCATCAATTCTGGTTGCACAGCACAATACCAGTATCACTACTATAATGAGACCCAAGTTTTCTTCTCTATATTCTGGTGAAGTTTTTAATAATACTGTTTGTGGCTAAAGAAAATGCTTTCCTATAGACTCACAGGAGAAAACATCTCAGAAGATTCAAGGATATCTTAAGAGTGCAAGTGAAACCCCCCAGGTGTAATCAACACACTCCTTCAATCCTCCACAATTCCTCCCCTGAGGCCCACTACCACCCTCCAAAAACGAGCTGGTCCACTCAGAGGCTGCAGCAGCTGTGAAGGAGGTCAACTCAAATCTGGTAACACTGGAATGGAAGCAAACAAAACTAACAGAAAATTAATGACAAAGGAAAGAGAAAGAAGAATTGGATCTGGAAAGGGAAATGGGGTAAGGCGGCTATAGACTGGGTGGGGAAAAAAAGAAGGGACACATTCTCAGGTAAAAAAATAAACTAGGAACAGAAGCAACAGAAGGAAGAAAAAGGAGAAAACAAGAGGGCACGTTACACCGAGCATCCCACATTTAACAAACACAGTTGAGCATCAGGAGAAGGAAAAAACCCCTCCCACCCACTCTGCCTGCCTCTCATGCAGCAACTGATAAATCTCATCATCTTGAAAGGCAGAACTGATCTGCTGGCCTTCAGCAGTGTTGAGAGACAAAAGCAGTACTATTTCCCACACCAGGGGGAAAGCAAACATTGCCGTTTAGCCAATGTTTGTGACTCACAAATTCAGCTACTGATTCCCCTTAGTACTTACGTGCAATTGCAATGACCACAATGGCACAGATCACTCCCAGCATGATCATCATCTAAAGAGAAGAATTACAATGAGCCCACAGAGAACCCTCATACAACATCTCCTTTGGCAAAATTAAAGTCTCCAACAAAGATGGACAATGGGCCACTTGAAACTGTTTATTCTACGTCCATATTCATGATCATTGATCCAACTGTCCCAGTACTCATTATTCTGCCTGGCACTAATTTCCAGGTTTCCAACTATACTTTCCCAGACATGCCAGCATTTTCCTGGAAACATTCCAAATTGAACCTATAATTTTAAGCATGCAAAAGGTTGGCTTTATATCTGATCTATGGGTCTCTGTCCCCTGTTCAGGAAAAGCACTATGGTTTTATTTTAACAAAGAAGGATTGGCTCAGGAACAATTACTTATATAAAAAACTGAAATAGAATAGATTTTTGGCTGAAGTGGATAAAAATGAATTGGGGATTTATTTAAAAAGTTTGTTTATGGGAAGAAGGGAACCATGATATGTAACTTGGGGGGATGGGTAGAAATGATAATTACTATGTAAGTGCTGAAAAGAAGATCAGACATTGCTTCTTTCTTTTTTCTTTCTTTTGTTATCTTTCACTTTTCTTTTCTTCTTTTATATTTTTTTCTAAATGTCCTTGTTTTCATATTTTTAATCTTATGTAACACTTTCTTACAATAAAAATATTTTTAAAAGTAAGATTGCCTCAGCAGCTATACATTCAGTAAGCTGCTCACTTCTTACTCACCTTACAATTCTTCCACCAATACTTCCTCTTGAGCGCTGCTGCGCTACTTTCAAATACTTGGGCACCAGCTTGGAGAGCATCCGCTCGTTCGTCTAATTCTGAGAGTTTCTGATCTCGCTCCAAAACTTTATCCACATTCACACGCATAATATCCACCACCTGAAGAGAAAGGGTAATTAGCTTCCTAGTAAGAGAGAAAGCAGATGTCAGGCATGAACAATCAGATCCACACGTGAATAATTCAATTAGCTATTTTGTAGTTCATGCCTATAACACAAGAATCTTCTCTGACTGCCAGTTTATACTTGGGCCAAACTAGATAAGGTTCAATGGCATTCAAGAGAAGTAGGCACAAGAGACCTAGCTCTCTTGTGCCTACAAAGAGATTCCAGACTAATTCCCCCTGGCTTGGCTAGTCTCTCACTGACAGCAGAGGACCACAAAGAATCATTTTAATCACTTACTTCAGGGGTTAAATTCAACAGGTTCTGGAAAACCCGGTAGCGAAATTTGAGTAGTTTGGAGAACTGGCAAATACCACCTCTGGCTGGCCCCAGAGTGGAGAGGGAATGGGGACTTTGTAGTATCCTTCCCCGGTAATAAAAAAAAAATGAATTTCATCAATGACTTACTTCTTCCACTTGTGCTTGAGTCTGCTGCAGGCGCCAATTACTGGTCATATTTGGAGGTGCACCAGGGCCCCCCGCATTTTCACCTCCTTCCTGTCCCGTTCCTGGGGCCCCTTGCTGAGCTGGATCAGACCTGTGGAGGCAGGTTAAGTACAAGAGATGATGCAAATGCCTATGTCCAATACTCAGCCAGAAACCAGCACATTAATATATACAATGGTAATTTAGCTGCAGGCTTATTATCAACACACAAGAAACACAAGCACTATAACATGGAAATGACAAGGAGAAATATATTCAAATTTTCCAAGGAAATAGGCCATTCAGATTCTTGAACTGTTCATCTTTAAAGTAAAAGCACCTTAAGAGGAAAATGGAAGACTTAGGTCTAACATAAACAATTATGTTCTTGTATAATAATAGAATTCACACTATCTTACATTGTTGAACTGTTTATTGGTTGTTAATCCAGAGGATTTACATACAGTGGCTTTCTAGATCTAACAAATAAATGTCAAATGCCTGATAGTAATGCAAGAAGTAGTGAAAAATACTAGAGAATGTCAAATAGAATGGGTTCAGTACCTATTAAATCAAAAGAAGCAGCTATATTTCAGATGTAGTGTCTTTCTCTCTCCCAAAAGCAACTGTTTGTTTATTTAATTTATATGCCACCCATCTCACGACTAGAGCAGTTCAGGTATTACAATTCAGAAGTATTGTCAGGAGATATATTGGAGCGCTGCTCTGACTCATCTGAGCTCTTGAGGATATAAAGAATTGAAGCAGAGTCCACCACAAGCATCGTAGGCCAAATTTAATGGAAATCCAGTGCATGACAAGTGAAGGTTCAATGGCACGGTTGTGATATCTCATTTTAGCTGCTAAATTCAGGTCATGACAATATCTCCTAACCGACAGAATGCAAGTAAGATGACACAGCCATGTTGAGGAAGTCACTCAACTCTCCTCTTACCTCAGTAGCAATTTTTAAAGAAAGATATGGGGCGGATTATTTAACCCTCTCATCTTCTTTTATAAAACATTATTATTTGACGCATTATCAGACACTGATTATGAAGTGTGCTGAATTCATAGAATGTACTACTTGAGTAATGTTAACAGATACAATTAGAACTTGAGTAGATAAATGAAAAGCAATCTGCAAGCATAAAAGAACTGCTGTGTCATGTGGCAGAAACATTTACCAATAAGTAACATTGCTAGATATATTTGGTTTTACTGCAGCAGGAGGAATAGATCAAAGAAACTATCAAATAAATCAGTTCAGAGATACAAGGATGCATTTTCCAACCCAGCAATGGAGACAGTGGCGAAAACTCATGAAGGTTACAGACTAATGACCAAGGCTGGCAAAAAATGCCATCAGAAGCTTCAGGCAATGTTTCCATAAGCAATTTTGCCATATAGAATAGAGGAAGGAGGAGACAGGAGAAATGCAATTATGGAAAAAGCAAGGAGTCCCCAAGAAAGAGAACAAAACTTAAGACTTTCTGTTCTACTGGCCAAGCAAAGAAATATCTGCAGTCATTCGCACGCAAGCGCCCTGCGCATACAACAGCACTTGCTTCTCTTTAATCCTCCATCATCAAATTGCTCTTTCAGCAGTGTTATTATTAGAACTTTAATACCTCTGAAATGAACCAGCTATCTTATTACCCGGGTTCACACATGCACCTCCAACAGAAACCCATATCAAGTAGAGTTTGGTCATCCAAAACTCGTGCTGCGTTTTTTATTTTTTCATATAGGGACAATCGCCTCCACTAATAGACCGGTACATAAACTTTTACGTCCCGGCTTGTACTCAAGGCAAAAAAAAAAAGAAGGCATTTTGGAAAGTGCCTTCTAGAGTTCTGTGGAAATGCCCCTCTCCTCCATTGCCAACTATATTACCACTCATGACACCGCTGGAGCCTCCGGCCCCGGGACAGCTCTCGCCTGAAACTATTCAGGGGCCAGGGGCAGGAATCGCAGCGAGGGGCCGGGGAGATGGCGAAGCACCCGCTGCAACAAGGAAAACTGTGGAGCCATCAGATGGGATGAGGCATCTGTCCCAGCTCCGTCTCCGGACAACCGAAAAAAGAGAACGGGAGAGGGGGGTGGCGGCGGTGCTGCAATGCGCAACTCGGCAAGCGCCGCAACCGTGCAGGGAAACCGGCCGCGCATCACAGGAAGGCAAAGCAACGACGAGAGCGTCCGTTCCGTTGCTACTCACATGGCCGGCCTCGGCTCTAGCAGCCCTTATGATCCTTTCGGGAGGAAATGCACGAAGCAGCGCAAGGGTCGACGGACGGCCGGTGGGAACGACCAGGCAAGCGGGGCTCCACCGGAGGCTATTGAAAATTACTGCAGCAGGAACCTCGCCCCCGCTCCCGGATTTTATACGGGGGGGAGGGGCGGTCCTTTCGGCCCCGCCTCGTCACGCAGCGAACCAATGAAAAGCCCGTTCCTATCCTCACACGCCCCCGATTGTTGCCGGCAAAACTCAGCCAGCCAATCGGCGTTGCCTGCCTTTAGCACGAAGTCCCCCGCGAACAAGGGGCTGCAGTTCGATAAGCAAATCGACGTTGGCCAAATTTGCATAGTCCTCTCTCTCTCTCTCTCTCACTCACTCACTCACTCACTCCCTTCCAACCCTCTTTGAGATCCAGGGACTGCAAATGGGAACACGCGAGCGAGAATCCCGGTAACTTCAATCAGCAGTTTGCCGCTGTATAATACGCTCCTGCGCGGTTCCTAACTTTTAGATCAGCGTTTCTCAACCTTGGCGACTTTAGTCCTGTGGACTTTAACTCCCAGAATCCCCCAGCCGCCAAGGTTGAGAAACGCTGATCTAAAAGTTAGGAACCGCGCAGGAGCGT